TAAGTCCAAACAGATGGAGACTTCGGATAGAGCTGTGGAGAGAATGAGGAAGTTCACGCCAAATAGAAGAGTCCTTATATTGTTCTCTAATCGAAATTGTCTCTTTTGGTTTGCCTTTTATGATACACACGTGAATGAATAAGTTCATAGATTTGGTGTTTTGTTAAACTACATTGCTTATATTTATGTCTTTTCAGTATGATCTAACATTTTATGCATTCTTCTTTGGATTATTTGTTTTCCACGGTTGTATCAGGGCAACAAAATCAATGCATCGCGAGACAAAACGAGGCCGTTTAGTGACGATTCCATCTTCCACGGAGACTCAGCTATGTAGTGAGATATTTGAGGATAGATTCTGCGATTTGCATGAGAGCGTTGTTAGCAGAATTCAGAGTTATCTCCCAACTGTCGAAGCTGTGAGAACCTCTGTATTATCAAAGACATGGAGGAACGCGTGGACCAATGTAGGTATCAAAATCCATCCCTTAGGAATCAATGTCCAAAACTGGCTAAGTATAGGAGATACACGCGGAAAATCCGTTAAGGTTTTTCCGCGAAAGTACTTAACGGGAAACCCGCAAAAAAACCTTAACGGGAAACCCGCAAAAAGCTTTAGCAAAAGAGTTAAAAAAATCCGTGGAAACCTTATCCGAAGGGTTAACCCGACCCGTGCCTAACCTTAACCTGACCCGCAGGACAATGACAAAGAAGTAACAAGTTGAGCCGCGGGGTAACAAGCCAAAGCGTCAGATAGTGGTCTGAGTCGCGAAGAGAAGCCCATAGTGCGTAGCCGAGTCCGCGGAGGGAAAATCCTAAAGAATAAAGAAATTTCCCTTATCTCGTTAGTGGTAACCCTAGCCGCAGAGTATCAATATATAACTCGTTGTAAACCCTCATTAAGGGGGGATCCGCAATTTTACACAGAAAACCTTTTTAACAGCTCTTGACAGAAACAACAATAAAAATCTATCTTCTTATCTTTTGTTTTCTGTGATTCACATTTAGAGATCTATGTTCCCAAAAAACCCTAGACAAATTATATTGTTCTAGTTTTGACACCTTGACACAAAGGAATCACCCTGCAAACGATAAGAGATGACCGAATGTGACGAGTTCAGAACCCTTCGGGCGATCTACCAGTAGAAAAGGAAGCCGATGTCAACGAGACTTGCGTCGGCAAAACTGGAGCCGATCCGTAGAATACTGCGGGAAACCGAAACGACGCTAGAATTCCTTGACCAAATGAAAATGATGTTGGAGGCACTGCTCCAAAAATTGACAGAGTAGGAGAATCTAAACGCTATAGTAACCGACAAGCTGCGCGTTCTGTCAACGACGAGCCGTTCCTACGGGAGGGGAACAAGCCAAAACAGAAGAACTACAACACGCCTCAGCCCGACGTCTAAAACTTCTCAACGCCCATTGACACAGAGAATCGCGGTTTACCACCGATCCATCCTGTCGCAAATACCTTCGAGCCGAGCGCAACATCAAATGCCCCAACGATAGACAAAACGGCTCCTGTAATTAATCTGGAGGAAAACCTAGAAGGGGAGCAAAGTTCAGAGGATAACCATGATTCTGCGCATGGAACTCGAGCCTGGATCCAGTGAAGCAGCTCACAACTCGATCACGACCAAGAGTACGATGAAGTTGAAGAAGTCTATAAAATCCGGATCTAGATCTAAATCTATA